TAGTCCAGATATTTTTGTTTTTTTTCCAATAAAAGTTTTTTAGAAAATTTTGGTCCAAGTGATCGTCAGAAAGAGTTGATGCCTACTTTTTAAGTATTTAACCATATTTATTTTATTTAATTTATATTAATTTAGGTCTTTTGCATTATATTTAATCATTATTATAAGATTATAAAAAAAAAAAAGCAAAATAATTAAGGACATATTTTTCCTTATAGACGAATATGATAAGTATTAACTAAACTGATAAAAATTGAACCAGATAATATAATATCAAGAAGAAATTTATTAAATAATAAAAAAATATAATAAGTTAATTGTTATCTTAGTGTAATAATTGCTAGTAACCAGTAATAAATGTTAAAACAAATATATACTACCAGATAATATAAGTACAATCAAAGAAAAATCTGTCATCAAGATTACAATTATTATTTTATTTCTAACTTCAAGATTTATCTTTATATATAGTATATAATATGTCGTGGTTCAGTTTTTTAATAGATTAATTCTGATGTTTAGAACAAAATATAATGAAAGCCCAATAACAGGTTTTTTTATGATCATACTCATATAGATATAATCACTATAGTCGTCTTTCTATACAATCACCTCATATATAATCACAAACTCTATATAATCACATAATTTTATATGATCATTTTTTTTTAATATTAAAATACCTTTATATAATCACAATCATAGTACTATCACTATCACATATTTTTAAAAAGTTTTTTTTACTAATTTATTAATAAAAATACCTTTTTAAAATCATATATTTATAAAAATTTTTTATTTAAATTTTATAGATTTGTAGAAATATCTTTAAAAATTTAAAACGTTTTTAAATAGAATAAAATTCATTATTTTTACTCAAACTTTGATAATGGATATCTCGATAACTATTGATCCAAATCAGCTCAAATTTTTACTATATATATTGTAGATCTTATTCTATTATATATAAAAATTTTAACTAATTTGGTCTAGTAGCTCTCAAGTAATCGATTGTATACGATAGTTAATTTTTTTAAGACAATTGACTATCATATACAATCAATTACTTGAGAGCTACCAGACCAAATCAGCTAAAATTTTATATATAATAGAATAAATATCTACAGTATATATGATAAAAATTTGAGCTGATTTGGATCAATAGTTATCGAAATATCCATCGTCAAAGTTTGAGTAAAAATAACGAATTTTATTCTATTTAATGAACACTTTAAAATTTATATTATTTTTTTTACATTTTTAAAATCACATTATTTTAATTATTCTATATTATGTGATTATATAGAGGTAATTTTATTAAGTCCTAATTCATGAGTGATCGGCATTAATTTTATATGTAATTTTGGGGTAAAAATTTGTCCAACTATATATATAATAAAAAAATATACTTGGTAATATCAAAGTAAAAATCACAAAATATGGTACGTTCTCTGTATTATAAATCATGTGATACTATATTAAATATCAGAGAATACAATTCGATCAAAAAAAGTGGCTATTACCTTTACAAAAAAAAAATTACTTTATAGCAACTGTAGATTTGGTATACTCATATATATATTAATTATGCAAATTCAATTACTGAAATTTAAACTTTTATTACGTTCTTAAACTATTATTTACAAATTTTCAGCATTTGCATTTTCATCCAAAGATCTCAACGTCATAGCTTCTTTCCACTTGCGCGAAAAAACAGTAATCCAATTTGTTATTGTGATCACTTTAGGTACATTATTCTCATCGATTTCACCTAGGTTCGCACGTCTCAATAATTCTTCATACATTTGTTGTGCATTCATTTTTTTACAAGGATTTGCTGTTTCAGAATGGAATATAATCTTCAATAATTCTTTAACTTCAGCTATTATTCGTTTTATTGGCTCACGAGTTTTATTTCTTTCATTTTCTTTTAGGGCCCAGCCAAAGTAGAAATATTTATAACTATATCGAATAATAATATAAGCAGTATTCTTTTATGCGTTCAAACAAAAGTATACTGCACCTTTGAAAATTACTGTCTATAGATGTTTTTATGATCTCTTGGTTCGTTATATTTGTTGCATTAGTTAAAACTGAATTCTGTATACTTATATTAGTCACGTAGATGCAGCCACCGCCTCTAAAATTAGTATGTCCTCCACTTCTTGTGGGCCATTTTTAGAGGAGAATGATGTAAGTGGACAGGTGGATAAGTCTATTTACGCGGAGGACCAGAATAATGACGGTCAGACCAAACGTACATAGCAGACTATGGAATCCTTCGCAGCTGTGAGAACCGAGCTTAAAACGGCGAGCGCCCCTACAGAAGAAAGTTTATCCA